CTCAAGGATGCTACCAGCTTCTGCCTGTGTGTGCAATGCCAGATGCATTAAGATTAAGAAAACCGCAAGCGTGCTTCCTTCTGAGAGTTGCCAAAAAACTGAGAACAGAACTTGATCCCAAGGCCAGGGAAAAGGGAGCAAAAATTAAACAGGGCCCAGACAGGTACAAGGGAGCTGGAGTGCTGGGCAACCGCAGTTTAACATGAGAAATGCAGCAGTAGGTGTGACAGCAGCAACCTTTAATCTTGCCTGAGCTCTATGAAGTTCTCATGCTGCCAGGATTTTAGGATGAAGCCCATGGGACCTAGCCTGGCTGGGAAGGGGAAGTTGGATCTCCTCAGGTAATCAGSTAAGCTGAAATAGCCAGGCTGAAGGATCAGCCCCTTGAGAGCAGACCTGGCAAGCAAGAAGGAAGAATGTGGGGGCTTTGTCTTGTAGTTTCCTGCCAAAAACTGGCACAGCTGTAAACACAAGTGCAGAACAATAATGTACCAGCAGCTGCTAAARCTATCACCTGGGAAGCTTCCTGCTATCTGCCAGTGGCAGGACAAAAAGGAGCTCCCCACATGCTTTCCTGCAGTTTGTCATTTGTCTGATCTCTGTTCTGCTCAGTCCCTGTCATCCTCTCTTCCTCCAGAGTTGTCTCACGCTCCAACAGGAAGATACAGTTATGAAGACCAACCTCTGGTGGGGAGCAGACTCATTGTTCAGCCTTGCTTCTCCAAGCAGCAAGAAGTTCTCTTCTTTGTGACTTCTGAGTCACCCTATAGYCTCTCCACAAAAAGTATTTCCCGTGGGCTGGTTCTGCAGGCACTGGGTGGACTACTCTGGTGCCTTAGAGATCCACAGCCCTCTACAGTTCCCCTCTGCCTGCCACGTGTTGAAGCTCCAGGGCTTACGGTGACCAGAGTTGGYAAGACACTGCCACTGGTTTCTTTTTCAGACCACTGCACCTTTCCAAGGCGTTAATCTCTGGGTCTGAACAGTGCCATGCTGGATCTCTCCTCATGGATAAGTATTTTTAGAAGGTTTGAGCTCAGACCATGTAGTCACTCCTGAGCTATGCCAGGACRAAAAGAAAACAACCACTTCTGCCTGAACAATACCAGCACAGAACAAAAAGCCACTGTAAATGGGGTTTTTTGGCATCACTCAAAACTAGCCAAGCTTTGAAAGATGAAACTTGCAGTCAAAAAAAAGAAGAAAGAAAAGGCTTCCTAGTGAACAAGTGAACAGAAAGGGCTTTGACAGTTTACTTAAAAAGCCAGATTAAAGCAAAACGATGTTACATAAATACCAGTGAGCATGCTGGAGCTTGCATTGCTCCATCTCCATCCCAGCTGCTGTGACAGCCAGATCCAGGGCTGGGTTTGCTTCCTGCTGCTGCCTGTGCCACAGCCTTGCAGGTAAAGCCACTGACAAGGAAAAGAGCCACACAGTCCCTGCGCCCGCAGCTATGGGTCCTGCAGGAAGTGTTACTGTCTCATGATGGAGGAAGACAGCAACCCCAGGGCATGCAGCTCCTCTCCTTCCCAAGGCATGAAGCTCCATGTACAGAGCCTGTCAGCACAAACCCCCTCTCACTGACAGGCTCTGTGTGGGACTGGCATGGAGGAGCTGCAGCCATGCRGGTGACCAGAGGTCACCATTTCTGGAAAACACCGAAATTTCTGGTGCATGCTGTATACCCTGGATGACTTGAAGCCAGTATTTCTGAGGACTCTTAATGCAAAAATTTCCTGTTTTCAGGAAATTGCTCAACCACTTGTCCACTTGTAAGAGGGATGGAGCCAGGATGCCTTTAGCAGCAGAGTTGAAAAGTGTTGTAGTAGCTGAGGATACTTAAGAGTTCAGTCTTGCCTTGGGTGGGAGATCCAGCAAGTTGGCTCCTGTCCTCTTCTGTCAACAGCTACAGCTGCTGGGGACATCTGTGAGCCTCAGAAGCTCCTGGCACTCTCCTCAACAGAGAACGAGAGTATGTGAGTACATAAACATGTATATATATGTATATACCTTCAGGGACCTTACTTCACAGGAGCATGCAGGCCATGGAGAAAATCCATCAATTTTAATGCATTTTTATTGCGACTGTTTGGATCATGAGAGCCTAGGAAGTCAATGCAAGGTGGGAAGTTGGGTGCTGCCCTGTTGCCTGCAGCTGCCAGCTTCCCCCAGCCTCAGGACATGAGCCACCCCTTGCTACCAGGAAAGCAGCCAGAGTTTTTCCTCACTCCATTCCCATTGGGATGTGAGCTGACACATTTTCTATTTCTCCCTGTAGGCCTCTTGTTTTCACCCATTTGGCTCCTCTGGTGTAAGAAATTTGAGGTTTCCCCTGCTGGTCCTGCCTCCATCCTTCCCTGGCAATAGAATGCAAAGAGATAAAAAGCAACCAGGCACAGCTCTGCACAGCAGCCCCCTCCAAGCTGCATCCAGCCTGCAGCTACCACTCTCCTGAGAGTTGCAGTCGTTGGGTTTTGCCTGAGAAACGTTTTAAGGGGAAAAGTGTTGCTGAAATTACAGAGCTTCAGAGGCAAGAGAAACCACAAAGCTCACAAGGGCACCCCACATCCTTGACAAGAGCAGCAGGACATGACAGACCATCCTCCCATGTGGTGTTGGTGTCCTGGTTTTGACTGGGACAGTTAATTTTCTTCCTAGTAGCCAGTGCAGTGCTGTGTGTTGGATGTACTAGGAGAATAATGCTGACAACATACCAGCATCCTATTTCTTTCTAAGCAGTGCTTACTTTAAATCAATAACTTTTCAGCTCCCTATGCTCTGCCAGTGAGGAGCTACACAAGAGGCTGGGAAGGAGCATGGCCAGTAGAGCTGATCCAAACTTTTCAAAGGGATATTCCATGTCAAAGGACATCATGCCCAGTAKATAAACTGGGGTAGTTACCTGAAAAGAGCCAATCACTGCTCAGGGACAGTTTGGGCATCATCCAACCAAATAGTGAGCAATTATTTTGTGCATCGCTTGTTTTTCTTGTGTTTTCTCTTTTTGTAGTTTCTCATTTCATTACAAATATTATGATGTTATTCTTGTATTTTAAATAATTAAACTGGTTTTATCTCAACCCATSGTTTTGCCTTTTTTCACCGATTCTCCTCCCCTTCCCACCAGGAGAGGTGTGAGTGAGCAGCTGCCTGGCACTCAGTTGTCGACTGGGTTAAACTACAGCTTGAGCCTGGGTGGGTTGCAGGGGTAGGTAAGGAGGACAAGAGACTGTGTAACAGGTGATCTAGTGTCATTTTGGTCTGGAAGTCAAGCCTATTGTAGTTTTATCTTATCTTTTTACTGCCTAGAATACTGCAGCAGTGCAAGCTGCTGTTATTCTTTAACTTGCAGGAAATTCACAGCAAGCACTTGCCACCATTTTTGAACAGAGCTTAACATTGGTGCTAACAGCTTTGCAGGGCTGGAGTATTTAATTGCTGATTCTGAATCCTATAATTACTTGGATGAGAAAAAATGAGGTGTGTGAAGGGAAGCTTAAAGCGATTAATAAACTGTTGGGGCCAACAGCCTGGCTGGGCTGGTGAAAGGCCCTGCCTAAGGCAGCATCAGTGGGGGCCATTTTCCTGTTGACATGGAGCTAGTCTTTATTTTGTTCTTTGCACAGGAGGAATTGTATTTGTTGATAAAGGATTTACTGGCCAGGCTGCCAAGGTCAGACCTCGCTGGAACCAAATTATCCCCTTCAAAGGACCACATATATACAACCCACTTGTGCTGCAAGACAACCTGAACTTTCCATCAGCTAAYTGAACTATCAGACCTTGAAGCTGGTCCTGGCATAGCACCTCTAGTAGAGAAGATAGCAAAGCTCTCTCTCCCTCCTTGCAGCTATTCACTATGAGCCAGAGCAGCTGGAGATGAACTCGGAGTTCAGCAGGCAGGCACAAACATCTCGGGAAAGGAGCAGCTGTGTTAGGGCTTGATGCAAGTGTAAAGCCAACAGAAACGAATGGAAAACCTCTGCTTGCCTGGAATCAGGCACCTTGGACAAGACTGTGGGGACAGGGGCACCGTGCCTGATCTTTGGGGGAACCTTGGTGGTGGGGTCAAAACATGCATGGGGAAGAGAAGTGGGCTTAGCTGAGCTTTGCTCAGGAGAGCACTGAGGATCATTAAGAGCTGAGGAAGCTACTGTAGCTACAGGCTTGGGCAGGAGAGGAAATGCTTGGCACATCAGAGCGTTCAATGTGCTTAACTCCAAAAGGGAAAACAAAGTGCATCCTCACTAGAGAGAGCACCTGACATGGAAAAGACAGCTATTGCTAAGGAATTACCCATTGCTTCAGCTCCCTTCAATGGGAAAGACCAACATCACATTCAGGTGGCACGAAAATTGCTGTGCAACCCCTCTTTAACCACCACATAAACACACTGCTGGCACTGCTTCCTGCTTGCAACTCCTGTTATTAACACCACTGTGGGAATCCCCGAAGCCTTCCCCAGCAGTTGGCAAACAGCRAGCTGAATAAATCTGGCACACCTGTCCTGTGGTGAAAATCTTGAAGAAGTGCTTGGGGAATCTCAAGCTGTCCCCAAACCCCTCCTCCTCCTGTCCACCTGTTACAGTGCTCTGAAGGATTCCCAAAGGGCACCATGTAGGTGGATCTTCAGCATTAATCTTGAATGAACAGTTATGGCTTTCACATAATGCACCCTAAAGTGTGCTGGCACTTTAACAGCTGAATGACACTTTAGCTCTGCTTTTCCTTAGAAGGAAGCGATAAAATAACTATTTTATACTGCCCCATAATTACACAATGCAAAGTCACTGTGTTTTTTCCTGTTCTGTAGGATGGCAAGGCAAGCAAGTTGACTATTGTCTGGTATGTGACGCTGTTCCCCTACTTTTCCTGCTCCTGCAGGAAAATGGAGAGTCTTTATTACAAGTGTTTACTAAGCAGGAACACTGAAACTGCAGGGGAAATTGCCCAGCCTGAAACCCCAGGAGGTCAGGAGCAGCACAACCTCKGTGGTCTCCAGAATAAAATAAAATGCCAGTTTTTATTCATTGTAACTGATCAAGACATCTTTACCAGATTACATCCAAGTGATATTACCTCTAGCAGCATGCCAGTGGTGAGATCAGCCCAGCCTGAGTGGGAGGCACCCACCTCAGGGGACCAGTAGCCCAGGCCCCAGGGTGACAGAAGCAAGTGGGAGCAGTGATGCCAGCAGCATTGAGGTTGCAGCAGGACTTGGATCACCACTCCCCAGGCTCCTCCAAAAGTCATAAATTGTTATTGCAAAGATGCAGAAAAAGAATAACCTTGCTGCTTATAAACCAGGGAGGTGAAGTGGAGCAAAGCCAAAGCAGATTTAAGAGTGACTGAAGGAAACAGAAGCTGTGGTGAAAAAAAAGCAGCTTGTACATGGTCATTAAGCACTTACAATGTTCTCATGCAGCTTAGATAAGCAAACTGGAATTAAACAGTACAGTAGTCATCAGTRCTGGTGCTGTACTCTGCCTGCAAGCACAAGAGGACGCTGGGAGCACTCAGAAGCCATTTTGACTGGAAACAGGTGTATGTGCGAAGGAGGAGGAGGAGGAAGAGGTGGGAAGGGCTCAAGGCTGCTCAGATAGAAACACACAACCAGCACCCTTAGTCCAAAGGTCAGGGCAATTAAAGTCAAAAGGCTGCCTTCTGGCAGGGCTCACCCATGTGAGCAGATTTAATTATTCACAACAGGGAGAGAGGAAGGCTCTCAGGCTTCACAGGCAGGGAATGAGTGAGAAAAGCACAGGGGGAGCAAGCACAGCACAGGCTCCTGGTGTGCAATGAGCAGCTGATCCTCTGTGTATAAGAGGTGAATCCTGCTTCTGCCCTCCTGCGTCCCGCAGTACACAAACGGGGTCCTACAGGCAGCACTGAAAGCCCCATGAAAGTAAACCCCTGCTTTGTTCTTCAGCACCTTACCTTTAAGTAGAGATCAAGTCATAACCTGCACTCTCCCAACCCATCATTAGAAACTGAGCTGCTGATATTCCCACTCACCTCTCTGGAGAGATTTCTGAGAATCAAGTTTTATTCTCCCAGCTAGACAGCAGTGACTGATAAAAGTTCTCTACTGCAGACATACAAAAGGAGATCTATAAAATACTTCTCCCTATTTTCTCTTATAAAATTATAATGGGAGCCCAAGGATTTGTGAAGGAGTTGTACYGGTCCCAGCAACACAAGGACAGAGAAAGAAAGAGACAGGTTTCAGAGACAAGGCAGAGGCATTCTCAGCTTTAAAGGAATCCACCCAGGGCAGGTATGTGCCATCATCCTGCAGGGAGCAGCTGCCCTCTGCTCTGGGCTATCAGATGTGAGGCAAAGAGAAAACATTCCTCCTCCTAACTCAGCAGCAGCAGCTCCAAACGTCAGCTCTTGGCTGATAAACACAGGCTCCTAATTCCAGCAACATTCCCTGTTTTGAGAATAAGCAGCCCCATGCCTCAGCACCCTTTACAGCTACTGCTGCTCAARAGAAGAGGGAGAAGCAGGGAAGGGRTACAACATTTTCCATTTCCTAAAAATACCAAAACAGGAGAACAGAGTTGTACAGGGCAGGGAATTAACCTGCCCTCAGCTCTYCCAGGCAAGGAATGCACAACACGGACGTGTCCAGAGGCAGAGGTACAGCCCCGCTTTTACTTCAGGCTCCAATCAGTTTCTTGAGAAATGCCTCCAGCTGATCCTCGTCCTTTATGCCCACAAACTTATCCACAACATCTCCATTCTTCATAGCCAGCACAGTTGGCACYGCTGACACCTGGGAGCAAGAGAAACAAGGAGAAACAGGTGAGTAAAGCCTGCAGGAAGACAGCTGCACCTGGTCCTCCAATGAACTCTAGGGAAGTGGCAACAAGGGAGCTGAGCATGCCCTGCTCTAGGGTAAGATGCCCACACAGAAACAAGCCAGCTGAGCTCCACGTTCCTCCTCTTTCTGTGGACTTATCTTTGTGTTGACTTAAACCACACTGGTCAAGTAAAGGCTGAGCTGCTTTTTGAGTTTAAAAAAGACCCACATTTTTAAAGACAAAACTAAAGCTAATACAAAAACAAGGCAAGGCTGTTCCCACATTTCCAGCACAAATTCTTCTTCTCTTTCCCTTTTGTCCTATCAAAAGTGAACAAATCTAGGACACCTCTCAGGTGTCCTCTCTAGGACACTTTTGGACATTTTATGGCCAGGGCAGCATGAGACTGAACCCGTGTTTTTCTCCAGACAGGACTGGAGCTCTAATCCTAACCTGCCYCATCATTGTACAGGCAGATATTCTGCTCCATCATATTATGGCAATGATAATCCCCTCCAACCTATCTTTCCTTTCCTACTTCTGTTTTCAGTGGTTTATCTGGTCACACACCAGTGGCCATTCACTGCAGATCCCTGACAATTAGACAAGAAGTGAAAAAGTCCCTCTGATCAGAGCCAGCAGGCAGCTGCGCTGCTCTGGGCACTGCTTTTTTAGCTCAGAACAGTTWTCTGGGAATTATCCAAGAAAAAAGCGTTGGAAATGACAACACTCCCCAGGGCCCTGCTGGCTGACTGGAGACAGCAGAGACCCCAGGGACATGACTGAGAGAAGGAACAACCAGTGCTTGGAGAGCTGCAGCAGTGGAAGATCTGACCACATATCTGACCCCACAGCTTCGATGCCCTTATCCCTGCAAACTCTCCCCTCAAAACATATCCTGTCCTTATCCCGCCTGCTGACTCTTCTTCAGCCTGCAGGGCCTTCCCATGTGCCAGCCCTGCTGCCAACAAAGATCTGCAAATCCCTCTGGAAACCCATCAGAGGGCTGGCTTTCCTCCCACTGGGAGCCTGAGATGAAAGGGACATTTTGTCTTTCCTTCCCAGCCGGTCCCAGCTGGGCAGTCCAGCATGGCTCCCCGCAGTGTCCTTCAGGGCTTGTGCAGTCTCATCTGAAGGTATGGGAGCGTCTGGGCTGCTCAATGCACAATCTTCAGCTCCTCCTAGTGACAGCAGGGAGCAGACTGAGAGGGCTTGGGCCCCAGCACTGGTGATGGTGCCAACATGTTCCCTGGTGATTTTAGGAGTGAGAARGGATAGAACCAGCACTGCATTCAACTGCTCTCTCCCTGAGAAGGGCAAACCTCCACTGAGCCTCCCTCTGGTTTGCCAGAGGGTAAATACAGTGGGTAAATACCGAGCAGAGTTGCTCCAGTTCCACCCAAAAATTTGAGAGCTGGCCCCTACCAGGGCATGAGTAAAGAAMAGGCAACTCTTGGAAGCTCTACAGAGAACAGCAAACACCACATTGCCAGGCCCTGCAGGTTGACCAGTGCACCCACAAGCTTCACACAGCCTCGATCCYCCTGTCTCTCTTCTTCTTCATGCAGGTGAGCAAATCCCAAGAAAGAAGGTTTGGGGTCGATGCTGTAGAGTCAGACGAGAACCAGGGGCACAGAGCAACGTTCCTCTGCTCAGAAAACACAATGTTTTTGTCAGCTTCCTTCCTGCCAGCTGCAGCAAGGGCAGCCTGTTAACGGAGCATGTACTTTGTTTTGCTGGTTGAGAAGCAAATGTCATGGGAATTTCTAGAATGCAAAGTTGAGGGCACTTTTTATTTTTTTCCCTTCTTTTTTTTTTTTTTTTTGGTCCCATCTGCACTGAACCTAAACAAACTTTCCTCRTCCTTCAAGAGCATTTTTTCAGAAAAAAATGAGGCTGCTTTTGATTAGTGTTTACCACACAAATAAATAAACATGGCCATTCAGGTTATTCCTGGCAATACATGTACCAAGGGAATTCTCCCCCAACTGAAATTTTTATACAAGCTTGGATGCCACACAACAAAGCAGGGGGGAGGATTTCACCCAGGCCTCCGGGTGAGGAGGTAACACAGGATAGAGGTCAATTGATGAATGACCATCTCTGTACCCAGCAGCTCTCCTGAGCTGCCCACCCACAGTGGCCAGAGAAGGGGCTGCCTTTTCCCAGTCACYACACACGGGGTAACTGGGCAAGGCAAGAGATGAATCTAAAGAATTTTAWGAGACTGCAGATAAACAAAAGTATTTCTTCTCCCTTTCTGCTCTTGAGGCAAAAGGTCAGGAGCTGGCTGGAGCAGTGGAGAACGGCCACAACCAGAGATGAAAGGTATTAGATAAAATGGGGAGTCCCTAGAGAAAAAACTTTTGTGCTGGGCATAACAGGACAGGAAAGGGCACTGGGGACATTTCTAGTTGCAGGAAATGCATCTGTGCTTTGTGCTAAGCCAGGATGGCTAAGAGCCAAGGGCAGAGGGCCTCTTGTATAAAGGAATGTGCCAGCATTCCTCTGCTCTTCCAGGGGGTCTCCCCCTCCCGCTGCCTCAAGGAGGCTGCTGAAGAGGACATTGTGCAACCAGGCAGCAAGCTGGGGGCTGCGTGTGTGCGTGGGCAGGGGAATAAACATGGATGGAAGGAGACTTCCTGGCTGCTAGAGAAGGAGTTGTGGGGGTGGCATGGACACTGAAAACGCCCAAAACAAAGACTTTCTCAGCGTGCAGCCATCTGATCTCCAATGGAATGGCTTTATAACAAATGTTTTCTGATCTCTCCTAAATACCACCTTTGGTTTTCCTGATCTCTCCCAAACACTCTGTTTTGTGTCTCTTTCATCTTGACTTGATCCCTTTTTCATCAGCCCTTACACTTCTCCTTACATAGCAACTTCCGGGAAGATGAAGCCAAACGAAGCACAYGCTCAGCACATGCACCAAACTTCTGTAAAGGATGCCCCAAAGTAGGAAGATCTAAGCAAAAAATTCTCCCTTACCCCTACCTGTCTGCAGCTATGGTACTCACAGTCACTGCCTGGGGACTGTGCTTTAGTCATGGTAATAGCGGCCAAGAYAAGACACACACCACTTCAAAACAGGAGGCCCTCTTGCAAAACAGAAACTTCATGTTTGTGTAAGGTTCCAGAATGAAGTACCAGAAGCTGACCCTTCCCTGCAGCCTCASTCCTACCCGCACACAAACACACAGAGCAGGCAGCACGGCTGCTCCCTCAGCACCTGGGGAGAGAACACATGGTGCCTCATCAAACCTGCATAACTCGGGACTTTCAGCCTCTTTTCAGACCTTTCTTTGCATGCACACACCCTTGCTATTTTCCACTCATTCGAGATTATCCTCTTGTAATCCTAGCTAATTCTATCTACTGGAAGTCTTGGAACAATACAAGACTTGAGCTAGTAATCTCTATTCTCTTCTCCTTAGCATGGCTGCTACCAGAGCCTTGCCTGCATCTATTAGGATTTACACGCTTTTAGATCATCACTAAAACCACCTCACCCTCTTCAACTTCTCACCAGCACCCTTTGAGCTACGCAGCCTTTGGGCTTGCAGCAGCCAGCCCTGCTCAGGAGCCAACAGCCATCTTCCTTGGCCTGGGGTGCATTTGCCAGCACGCCTCCACCCTGGAGAGCACCACAGGCTCTCGTGCTCAGCTTGTACAAGCTGTAAGTCATGGCTGTGGCCACCAGCTGTGTGGACATGCCACCACAGAACAGGCAGAAAGGCCTCCCTGGGGAAAGAGTGGGAGGGAACAAGCTGTTTCCAGTTTTGTCTCCTTCTGGCTCAGCAGGGTGTGGGAACGGCACATAGTGTCTTCTCCAGGCTCAACAAAATGACAGTGTGCTCAGGAGATGGTTCACACTTTTCAGGGAAGCTTGAGGAGCTTGCTGTGCTAGTTGTCACCTTGAGAGCAGGACTTCATCTGCAGAGGGGAAGCAGATCCATCTGCTTGTGTGATACGTGAGTGAAAATGAAGCACTTTTTTCCCTGTAAAACACAACAGCAGGATGCCCCAGCTCCATGGGCAGAGCTGTTTACAAGGAGAGACAACAGAGGCAAGCATAGGCCTCAGAGGGACTTTTGCATTTCTTAAACTACCTAATCACTGACAGAGGGGAAAAAGAAATGAATYGTGTAAACTAAAGCCATGACTTTCTCCAGTCATTCTGCTCCTTCCTGGGAGAAAGGGTGCACAGGGAGCACACCCAACAGTAATGTCACACACTAGTGTAAGCACCTAAGTCCTCTCCTTTCAAGAGCAGGACACATGCTCCTGTTGTTTATGAGTTTTTTTCTGACCTGGCTTCTACCTGTCCAAACAAAACKCACGCTGTTTCCCGGTGCTGTAACTTAAGGATGGGACATTATGACCCAGCTAGAGATCCTGAACAAAGAAGGGAAAGAGAGGACAGGCTGGTTGCACAAACAGAAGAGCAGGTTGGAGGTGGAGATGCTGAGCATGACCAGCAGAGCTGGAGCAGTGCTAAGCAAAATCCACCTACTGACAAGTGACCCAATGGATCAGGARCCTGCAGGCTTCCTCTCCCTTCCAACGCCACTGTTGTGCAGGCACAGATCTCCCCACGGAGGCACCTTTGCACTGCCAGCCCAAGAAAGTCTGTGCTCTTCCACCACCTACCTCATACTCGATAGCAAGGTCTGTGTGATCATCAATGTCCACCTTGGCCATCAGCACCTTCCCCTCCTGCTTGGCCACCATCTTCTCTAACCTGGGGCCTAAGATCTTGCAGGGACCACACCACCTGATGGAGCAAGAAAAGAGAGGGGACATTAGGAGAGGCAGGTGCAGCAGCAGCCATGGAAGGTGTGCTGGGACACCAGTCCCTTTACCACCATTGCTGTCCACTCAAGAGACAGCCTGGAAATACAATTCCTGAACCACAGCTTAAAAAAACGCTTCTCTCGTGAAGGAGCTGTCAAAGCTGTTAAGGAAGCTCTCTATCAGGTTTCAACTAGTTGTCCTCTCCTCCCTGGATGATCCCAACTAATGACTTTGATTTGTCAGTTTGGTTTATTTAGAGCAGAATATTTTGGGCTGTTTTGTATTCTGTTTGCCTCAAATCAGCTGTAACAGGCTCTCGTACTGGAGGACTATGAAAATACATGAAAAACCAAAGATAATCAGTATTGTAAATCCAGCAGAAAACATCTAGGAATATTTTTACTGGCAGGAGGATGATAGCATTTTTATTGATGACAAATGGTGTCACATGGCTGTTATTAACACATAAAGGCTTTTACTATAAAGAGCCTCAAAAATCACACAGCTTTAAGAAATATGGAAAGACACAACATGACAGTGCTGGGTCATAGCAAATGCAAAGCCTTCCATGGCTGTTAACAACACTTAATGTTTCTAAGGCGACGTTTCATCCATGATGCCGAATAGGGGAGATATCAGTTTTTTTCCTGAGGTATCTCTTGTAGGATGATGCAACACTGGGRACTGGGTGGCACCTGAGCACTGGGAAGATGCAGCTATGCCACCCTGGGGAATGCATTCCTGGCATTCCTCTTTGACACTGCTGCAGGACGCAGCTGTGAGAAAAATCTTTATGGATTGAGCCTGACAGGCAGAAGCACCTTTTAACACCAGACTCCCCAGCTGGAGAAGCCCTCAGGCATGTTTCTCCAKGGTGCGCCCAGAGTGCCACCACACCAGGAAAGTCACAGAAATACACCTGCACGGGYAATGGCAGACAGAGGTGCAAGAGCCACAGGTGGAACTTACTGCGCATGGAAGTCCACCACAACAGGCTTGGAGCTGTTCAACACCCGGTCCTGGAAGTCGCTGCYATCCTGTACGTTGAAAGTGTTCCTGAGGCCAGCTGAGGTGCCAAAGGCCCTGCCGTGGGATGCCAGGGGGCCCCGCAAGGGGAGGGACAGTAGCCGCTGGAGTGCCAGCCTCTGGGCCATCTGTGGGGAGAGGTGGTTGGTGGGGTAGGCGCACCCCATGGTTGGTGCCACTGAAGCAGTGCCCTGCTCCGAGTGCCCTAGGCAGGACAGGCCCCAGGCCAAGAGACGTCCAGGAGAAAAACTTATGTGATATCACATGGGACTGCTTTCTACATCTGTGCCCAKTCTCTACTCTCCCTCTGCAGCTCCAGCCCCACAGACACGGGGCCCCCAGCTGGACCCCAGCTCCTCTCCGTTTTCAGGAGACAATCCCAGGCACAGGGTCCCCGTCTCCCTCAGCAGTAGAGAGCAGAGCCGCCCCCACGGCCCGTTTCTCCCTCCCCCCCCCCCCCCCCCACAGGGCAGACCCAGGCCGCGAGATTCCCACTGGCCCGGTACCGCGGGGCTCCTTCAGCAACGGCGTCCCAGCAGCTCCCGCAGTGGCTCAGGGTCCCCGAACCCGGTGGTTGAGGACAGCCCCAGCCCGGGAGGCCCCACTGCTCCCCCAGCCCGAGGGCAGGAGGGCACGGCCGAGAAAACCCCAGTCCCTCGCACCCCGTGCGCACCTTACCGGGCGCGGAGGTGACCCGCACACACCGAACGTCCGCCCGCCGGCCCGCCCACCTGCGCGCTGATTGGYCACTGCGCCGGAAAGCCGCAGCCAACGGAACCGGCCCCCAGCCAATTGGCAGCCGCCCCAAGAGCCGGGCGCCTCTGATTGGCTGTCGTGCCTGTCCTTTAGGCCACTTCGCCCGGCCCCTGGAGGGGACGGCGGATGTGTCATGTGAGGCAAACCCTGGCTGCTGATTGGCGGCGGAGCCCTCCAATGGGCGCCGCGAGCGCGGCAGGAGCCGTGGCGCGCCTCCCGCTCGTGGCGCGAGCCCGGCAGTCCTGGTGCCATTCCCGGCCCCGGTTACATTCCCGGTGACTCGGGCTGGTGGCTCTCTTCACACTGGGGCTGGGCAAAGGGCCGCCTGCTTCACCTGCTTCTTTAAGTTTTCTTGGAAGCACACAGTTCTCCACTCCCCCGTGCAGCAATTAACTCCCTCCTGCGTTATGCATAACGCAGGCAGCGGGGTAGGGCACCGGGACCAACCGGCAGTACTGCACCCACGGGTGACCATAAACCAGCATGGCCCATGCCAACCCCGGCCTTTGTAACTACTGTGCCTGATGGACAATGATTCCAAACTGGTGCTCCCTCTCCCTGGCAGYTCCAACGTGAGAGTGAGGCCAAGGGCACTGCTCACCCAGCAGCACCCAAAGCAGGGGGACTTGGATCCCTGCTCCCCGAGTCCCATGGGGAGTGACAGGAGAGTTTAAGTCACAAGATCCAATGCTGGGAGATGTGCACAGTGCACAAACRGTTGATGGGTGCCAGCTTTTTCAACCAAAACTTTTCTAAGGGGAATCAGAATTTAGGGCAATACGTACAGATCCACAGTCTCTCAGGGGAATTTGAGGATGGGAGAGGAAACATCTGGAGAATGTGTACATCTGTAGGTACAACAGTGATGCACTCTGTATCAGCACATGGAGGGAACAAATGAAACAGGCTCTTGGTGACTGCTGGTCAGTCCAGTTCACCCACAGACCCTTTTCTTCYCCTCGAGAATCCCAAAATAAAAAGCCCATGGTGCCAAGGATGTAAATAGTGGCACCACTGAGACTACTACAGGCCATGAGAGCCATTCCTGGTCTGGCCTTGGAGCTGGGACAATGGGATGTACAGCCCACAGAATGATGCTGATTGATGCCAACTGAGGTGATTGTTTCCCTCTCCAGCTGCATGTGAACAGGCAAGATCTTCAAGCAGCAGCATTGCGGTCATAGCCCAGTATTCTCAAATAGAGCAAGAACTCCTCTGTCACTTCCTTCCCCTCTTCTGCTCCTCAGCCTCTCCAAGGAACTGGGATTTTACTGAAACAGCAGCTGAATTTGAAGAATTTGAGAGCTTTAGGTACATGTAAGGTATAACCCCCAACCCTTCTCCCTGCCCCCCCACCCAGGAAGCAAAAGCGTCTATTTTTCAAGAAGCTAAAGGGCTGGAAAACATGTGGAGATAAAAGCCTGTACCCTGTCACCCCTCTTCTATTTCCAAGAAAGCACAGGGACATCATCAGGTCAAGCTCAAAACTGCTCTTGCTTTGCAAATCCAGGGCCGTGGAAGGAGCCCACAGGGAGGTGTAAGTGGCCAGTAGGCGAAGCAGTAAAGTGCAGACACCCTCCCTGCCAGTCCCTCTAGGATCTCAAAGTCCAAGGTGATTGGAGGGGAATAAAATAGAGAAGGAGCATTTTAACAACATCAAACTTTTTTTGATGGGACATAGTGCAAACAGGAGAAATATTGGTCATGCTTTATAAAAGACAAGGGCTAATCTTCTAGGCTGTTTGGTGTGGGAGAAGAAAAATATGAGGACAGCAGAGCCAAACTCAGTGTAAATCTCTGTGTCTCAGGCATTCCAGGCATCATCATCCATTCTGGAGTAAAGAATCCCTTGTAGTGTTCTCTGGGAAATTATAAATTATCTGACCTATATGGTAACTAAAAAAAAAATCACCCTTTCCCCACTCAAGCTACACAATTGCCCTAACTCAAATGTAGAAAAAAATATCAGGAATTTTGCCTGGAGTACCATTTCAGGATTCAATGCAGAAACAAATCTTCAAGTATACACAGCATAYGGCATCCAGGAATCCAGCCAGCACTGGGCTGCCACAGGGTTTGAGCAGGTCACCTCTGAAGGGGGGACATGACATCTTAAATTTTCCAGGCATTCCGGCACTCACTTTTGTGACCTCTGTATGTTGCTGCAGATATTGGTCAGTGAGAAAAACACAAACACCATCTTCAGGCAACTCTGAACTCTGCAAGGACAAATTGGGAACCTCAGCATCACTGGATTTTGGTCCCTCACTCAATCCTTCAGAGCATGTTGGCCCTCTTTGTAACAGCAAGATCTGAACAGGTCTTTGGCAACTCATGATCAGTGGAAGGCATGAGGAWGGAAAAGGGACATTGGAAAGGGCAGAATCCTGCTGTGGATCTCTGTTACAGTAGTGTCACAAGAGCACCTATGGATTTCAGTGTGGAGCAAGAATGGTTAAAGCTCATCCTTGGCATTAACAAGATGCTGCAGTGGATAAACTGGTATCGCATGATTTCCCATAAGCTGGTCCTGTGACCCATCATGGCTGTCAGGGGGTCTGTCACCCAAAAARTCTGTGCGAGTGTAATGCTGGAGCAGCCCAGCCTGTACCGCGTGGTGCCGGAGCTCCTGGCTCCCCACGAGTCCCTGCATTCTCACATACCCCTGCTGGCAGAACGGAGGCAGCTTCTGATGGGTGAAGGCAAACAGGAAACAGGACTCTGCAGGGGAAAGGATCAAAACTTAGAGTCAGCAGTGATACCCTGCAGGGAAATACTCCCATAAACTATCAGGGACTCATTCAAAACAAAAGGCAGAGAGGATGAAGGAAGATAACTGGTGTTTCCCATCCAGTATGCTGCCCCAGGTGGCAGCACAGTAATTTACTTAATTCTGCAGAGCTYGGGAGATGCAGAGTATGGTCCCCAGTCTGCACTCTGAGAGAAAAAGGAGCTGGATTTGAGCTTGCACCCTCTTTGTGCCACAAGATGGCTTCCCTCTGTGTGCCACATGGGCTTCCTGCAGAAGGGTCTCAGACTCTTCAGGTCTTAAGACAAAGAAGGGAGGCAGCAGAGGTTCTCCAGCTCTCAAATCACAGCACTCCCATTTCCCACGGGAAAACAATTATCATTATATGAGATCTAGTACAAAATGGCACAAGGAAATATTTAGATAATGAAGGAAGGAAGGACAGCTGCAGYTAGAAAAAGGATTGAACCCAACCTTATATGCCTTTCCCTAAATCCTGGCATGCCTGGGCCAGTCTTTTTCTAATGGTAAACAAGAGCAAAGACTSTTYTGGGAGCATACACACAGAACGGTACTTTGTACCATCTGGGGAGTGCATTGAGGAGCTGTGATTGACATAAGACTAGCAGCTCACCAAGGGAGATCTCAGCTATTTGCAGAGGAGATCACTCCTGTCACTTGTTCCTCACATTCCTCCTCCTCTTCCTGCCACCTTGACCCTGTGCTCAAATTACCTGCAAAGAAATTTCGCAGGTCGGTGCTGAGGCAGTTCTCCAAAAACCGCCTCAGTGGCAGGATGTGAGCATTTGGGGCYGTCCAGTCTGTCAGAAAGTCCTCCACAATATGATGGATGGCATCAGGTCGGGGGAGAGGCCAGTCTGGCGGATGAAGTCTCATCTCATGCTCTGTCRAGAGAACATTACAGGAATCTCTTAGACAAAATGGCATTAAAAAGAGCTTGGGGAGTGGAAAGCAGCTATGACAGCTGTTTCCGCTTTTGTCCCGACCTTTTAATCTGTTACTTTCATTTGCAATCTCTTCTGCTAGCTCTGTCCTCAACAGCCCTGCCACTGCACAGCTGCCCTCAGCATTCCTGTCATTTCACTCCTGTTCCCCGTGGGCAGGGACTGCCAGATGGGCTAAGCTGCGCTTAATGCTGTTACCCATCATGCTTACTTCCATGCAAGACAAGCTGGACCCTGACCCTAGGTTTCTGGAGATGAAGATTTCAATGCACTCATTTCCCAAGGRAATCTACTCTGAGGGTGTTTGCTTGCTAGATGTAACACTCCTCTTCAAACCCTTGCCTTTGGCTGCCTTTGTGGCTGTGTGACCTCTCAGACCTGGGCCTGCCCCAGAGAGCAGCTTTCTTTTGGCAGCAACATGGCCAAACAACAACAGCCCAGCCTYATCTGTCAGGCTCTGCAAAATATACATAGCATGCCAGCCAAAGGGAAGAACTGTTCCCTTTTTTGGGAATGGGGAAATTTCCAGCACATCTGTTTGTTCCTATTCTSAGTCGTGAGGTCTCTGGTACAACCTCCACCCCCCATATCAGTTTCATCGATGCAACTTTCTTGCCAACTCCCAGCTTCCTTTTCAGCTCAGTGGGGGTGTCTCAGAGGATGGACACGAAGGAGGTAGAGAAGGGGGAATAGTGCTTTCAGGTACCACCTCCACTTTGGCTCTGATTYATCTTTATCCCTCTTTGTTTTGGTTGTGTCATGTAATCAGCAGGAAAGCTTACCTGTTGGGAGGCGTTTGTAATAGTAAATAACAGGGTGCAAAAAGTTGGACTGCCAGGCATGTTGTGCCTCTCCCACAGCACGGTTATAGTAGAAGACATCCTTGTCAGCCCCAGAGAAATTCCTTCCATATTCCATGATTATGACAAAGAGTCCACTGCGAGCCTTTCTTCCCGTCTGCATTTCCAGCTCAGCCAGGACTCCAACAGGGTACTCTTCCAGGTATTCAAATGCTGTGGCATTCCTGAAATTCCAATCACACCATCAAATTTTCCACCAGAGAAAGTCAGCTGGGATCCAACTCATCCTTGGTTGAGGTTAAAGCCAAAAAATCATCAGACAGTAATTTTGTTTGGTCATTACAGATCTGAGCCGGACTTGATGCAGCGCTTATGAAGGCTGCAGATATTGTTACAAGACACCRTTATTTTCCTGGATTATGGGATTCTCTCTACACTAGCACTGCTCAAGCAAAGCTTTTCCCTGGGATCAGTAGAAGCGTATTACACCTCTAAGCCTAGAGGGAAGGTCCAGACCATTTCAACCCTTTAAGAGGGAGAAACAGTTTGCACAATTGGGCACCAGTTGCAGCCACAGTACATGTTTGCGGTGGCTGCCTACATGGTGGTAAGGTCCTTAAGCAGCAACAGTGCAATTTGTGTGGTGGCACCACGGGAAGCAATGGGCAAGAAAAAGAAATGAAATTACGGTGTGCAGTGCTGGGAATAATTACTCACTCACTCTCTCAGCAGTATGATGTCAGCCAGGACACTAAACATCTGGTAAAGGCCTGAGGCCTCGTTCACCCTCTTGATGATGGAATTGGTCAGCTGTGTAATAGGGTAGACTGTGGATGGCCAGGGGACACCATGGTGACGGTTTTCCAATAGGCGATGGACTGCCCGAGCTAAGACAGGAGAGAAACAAAGACAGCTTATTTAACAATCCAGGCTTATGCTTTAGGAAATCCAATCTCTGCTGCAGCGCAGGACTCAATAAATAACCTTTACAGCTCCTCTGTGCTCAGATCTCCCACCCTAATCACTGGTAACTGCAGTGGAGATGCCCTTGGAAAGCTGATGTGATGGTAAGTGGTAGGGGAGGGGGTGGGAGGGGTCCTCAGGGATATTTCATTACTTCTCAGCAGTCCTTTAATGATTAGGATGGGCACACGCACAGAAAGAAGGAAATTCTCTCTAATGCCCACAGCTGCTGGGTTTTAACTCCACAGCACAGACCTCTCACCCRCAGCCTGTCACAAGGCAGAGCATCTGGCAGGAAGAAATCTATTGTGTTACATAAATAACAGACAGCAGGCAAGAGAGACACAAGACAAAAYAAAGACAGACAACACAAAACTTCAGATATGACCCCAAGTCACTTCTCCTCCACTTTAGATGATACAGCTGCAGCTTGACTGTTTTGTCCTTCTTATTATAAGAATAAGGCTGAGGGCAATCTCTTTCCAGCAGTAAGCTATGGATTGTTCCTTTGAAGGGRGGAACATTTTCCACTCTGCCTTTTCTGTACACCCCAGTACTTACTTGTATATCGGAATCCATGGATGAAGCCCCCAGCAGATTTCCTGAAGTCAACTGAATGGCTAGCGGTGCCAAGAACGAAGAGTCCCCGAGTGCCTCTGGACTCATAGCTGGGCTTGATCTGAGGATACTTCTTAATATTCCCTTTTCCTGGTATTATTCTCAGGGATCTGATGTGCAAAAGAGAAGAGCAGGCTATCAGGAAGGACAGGTGTAGAAAAAAAAMGGGTTTCTGATACACGTTATATTGCAGTCACTGCAAGACTTTATTTCATACCCCTGCTGCTTTCAGTGGATTTTACTACTAAAATGAGGATCTTCAGAAGATAAGGGGGTTTATCCCAAGATAGCACTGGACAAGATCTAATTCTCAGCTGAGCAGTGAATTTTGGAAGACAGTTATCATTTTCAGCTGCAGGATGTACCAAGGTGAAGTGAAGGTTGCATCCTCAGGGGATTTTTTTTCCTCAGACAAAACGTTTTGTGTAGCRATCTGCATCTTTATCATCCTTACAYTGCTAGCCTTCTCCATGAGATCTGTCAGGTCAGGATGTTAAGTTCTAAAGGTACAAGCTTTCCTGCGTCACTCATGTCTCAATGCTGCCATCTGCTCAGCCTTAGAGTCTGTTGGTCAGAGGGCTGTGACACACATTACCACTGGGACACAGCCTTACCTGCACGATAAACGAAGGACTATGCAGCACCAAGGAGCTCAGAGCACACGGAGCTCCAAACAATGCTGCCAGAAGACCTGCCCTACCCTTTCCTCCCTACTAAGGCCTTTTAGTCTAAATACCTTCTTTTTCAGAGATCCMGATTCTCCCTCACCTGTTATAGATAGAGAAGTCAAACTTCCAGCCCAGGCAGCGGATGATACGGTCGTAAGGTGCACGGGTGGCAAAATTGTCCAGTTCGTCCTGCGGGAGGGTGATGGAGTCAATGCCCGCACTGATGTTCCTGTTTGCCAAGTAGAACCTGAGTGTGATGTGCAGCTTTCCTTTTTTGTCCTTCACGATAGCCAGATCTTCCAGGTCACCCTCCAGAAGCCCATCCAGAGATTTTAGCTGGTAGGTGTCCAGCAGGCCATTGTTAATTGCTCTGTGGAAAATATGAGTAAGTGAATAAGGGAGGTTCTGTCTTAGCTGCTGAAAATGATACAATTTATCAGGCATCCCAACACCTCTTCAGTGTAAGGGTTATTTAGAGAGCAGCAGGGCTCACAGGAACAGCACAGGTAACACAGCCTCACTGTCCTTGCAGGATGTAGCCAACCTCCTAGCTTCCATCTGTGACTGGAAGCAAGGGAGTATCTTGGGAGCCAGTACTTTTTAATGATTACTGTTTCCAAGTGGACACGTTTCTATTTCACACAGATCCCAAAAATCTCTTACCGAGCTCCTGTGTTCAGCAACTGTAACCTGGATTGCTTTAAATCAAGGACCTATAGAAGGCCACGTTTCCCCTGTGACACCCAGGACCACAGCACCACCAGTGCGCTGGTCCAGCCTGTGGTCTGGGAAAGAAGTGATTCTCCTTGTTTGTATTCCAGCTATGTTACAAAGAGAAATAGGAATGGTTTCTTACCTCAGATCCCCGACATAGTGGGTGGCCCACGAGAGGCGCACACGGGACCGGCTCACCATGTGGATGAAATTCGTGACACCAAGGATGTTCTCTGCCGTCTCAAAGGCCGAGTTCCCTCGTCCCAAGATCAACACGGTTTGGCCAGCAAAGTCCTCTGGGTTGATGGACACAGTCTCATAACCCTCCACATACTCTGAGCCAGGAAAGTTTACCACATTGGGGACCCACATCCCAGCGGCAACCAACAAAGAGCTGCAAAAACAGGGACAGCACTTGGGAATGCAGGAATTTCAGAAATGAGGTTCCATCTCCTCATTCCTTCCTCCTCCTGCTGTGGAAGGTGGCTGCAATGTGACCCCCACAATGACACTGGACCATCTGCACAGGTCATAGTTTCAAAAGAAACCTTTACCCAGCTTCACCTAATGACCTGTTCCTCTCATCCCTAGCCTCAGGACAACTAGGAACRTTGTTAYATATAGCAATAGTGTGGGTGCTGTACATATGCATCTCCCTCCCCTGCTCTTGAATGCAAGTTCCACTCATATGAACTCATTGACAATATATGTAACACTGAAGTTTCACAGGCTGATTATGTGTTCCATAAAAATGACTTTGATTTAAAATCTGAGTTGCCATTTGGCAGAGCAGAAGTAATTTTTAAGACAGGAAACAGTTTTGRTATTTTGAAATGTAACTCTCAGTTACAAAAACATGTTAGCAACACCACTAATTGTTAACACCAAAAATAAGCACAGTGATCTTTTTATATCACTCCATAAGAGCTTCTACTTGTTTCTTGAGGAAGTTTTTGTGACTTGGATAGAAACGCCAGGCGGCTGAGGCAAGCAGCACTGCCTGCTGTCCCAGCCTTCCTTACACAGCACCCTGAGAGCAACTCGCTCATGGTACGTGGGTGTCCGGGATTGCCTTCTGTCCCCTCGGAGTCTGCCAGCAGCACAYCGGCAAGTGGCAGCCAGCACGACCTGCTGTCATAGATCTGAGGTTCTCAGGAGCGGTGAGAAATATACTCCTTATGTTCACAGGAGTAACTTGTAGCTTTTTAGGAATGTAGCTCAGTGGCGGTACGGGATACACACACATAAGCAAGACAAGCGGAAGGGCAATTCAGCAACAGCCTTGAGGATTATTTCTCACAGTTGTCCTGCCCACCCTCGCTCCCCCTGCCCCCCCCAAAGCCTCCCTTTCCTCTGCTTCCCCGCTGTGTTCCCTCTGCCAGCCAAGGGCATCACTTGTCTAGGACAGACCTCTGAGCACATGTGGGAAAATGGGTATGAGATGTCACTGCACTGACTCAATTCTGTTTGTAATAARGGCAGTGCTGGCTATGAGTACAACTGAGTTACTTTTTTCACAGACAGCAATTATCTAGTGATAAAACAAAAGTGATTTCAAGCATACCTATCAAGGATGGACCCTGCTGTGATGGCCACTACAGCCAATTTCTATCTGCCCTGCCAATCTCCTCAGCTGCCCAAAACAAAATGCTGCTTGTGAAAGCAATGCCTTCCCATCCACCTGCCAATCCCCACAAAATGTTTTCCGCCTCTGATGGAGATTAAGGCTTTAAGAGGCTGTGAAATCTCCATCCTGAGAGATACATTCATGCCTCAACAGGGCAAAGCTCTGAGCTGCGTGTCAAGCTCCAGGTTTCCTCATTACCTACACTTGTAGCTCTTCCTGTCCTGATCGGTCATGAGAAAGTAGTGACCATTCCAGGCCTGCTCATTCTTCTCCAATGTCACATGAATGATGGCCGTGTTGTACTGAACCTGCAGCTTCAGAAGGGAAGCGAAGTCCTCTAGGTAACGCACCATCGTGTCAGCATTGGGGAAGAAGTCGCGAGAGTAGCGTCGGAAAAGAAGCCGCCGGTCGTGGCTGAGGAGTGAATTCCAGTCGTGGCGGAGGTTGAACTCGCTGTTGGACTTGCCCGTGTACTGCTTGTTTATGCTGATGAGTTTGCGGTGGCGAGGGTAGAGTGCGAAGAAACTGCCAGGAGCGTGGCTCCGCTCGAAGACGACATAGTCCCGGCCGGCTTGCTGGAGGAAATAGGCCGCCTGCAAGCCCGCGGGGCCGGCCCCGATGACGCAGTAGTCGTGGTAGAGGAACGTGGAACCGCTCACAGCACAAAGGCTGCCGGCGTACAGGGCCAGCCCCAGGAACGTCCCGCAGACCGCTGAGGCCATGGYGGGGCTGGCACAACCGGCCCTGAGGGGAAGAGGAGCAGGAGGCGTTACACCGGGGGCTACAACCCCTCCATAAGAGGGAGCCCTTGGGCGCCATGATGACTCCACACAGGGTAGCGTGTTGGGGCGGGGCCATTCTCCCTGCCAGCCAACAGCGGCGGGGGTCCCGGCCCTTCCACCCAATGGACGCACAGCGTCCTTCGCCCACAGCACACAGGTGGGAAGGTGGGGCAGCACCTGTGGACTACTGGTCCCGAGTGCCTCTGCGCATCACCAGCCAATGGGGATGGGCGGCGCAAGCCCCCAGCCAATGGGAAATGGGGTGCCCTGAGCTGCCCTCGCTCCCCCGCCAATACGGTTCCGGCCCCGATGCCCCCAGCCAATGGGAAATGGGGTGCCCTGAGCTGCCCTCGCTCCCCCGCCAATACGGTTCCGGCCCCGATGCCCCCGCCCCCGCCAAAAGGCGCACGAGGCGCGGCGCACGTGACGCGCGCGGCCGCCGCCGCCGCCCGGAGCCGCACCTGCACCATGGAGCTCCCGTCGCGCCGTTCCTCCCGCTCCAGGCTCTTCTCGCTTCGCTCTCTCCTCCCTCCCGCGCCGCCTGGGCAGGGCGGGGCGGGCACGGCTCTGCCTCCCGCCCGCTGCGGGGGCGAGCGAGGGGGCGGTGCACACTCCGCGCTCCGCGTCACGTGACGCCGCCACCGCCGCCGGGACCATGGCGGCGAGCGCACCACGTGTCCGGGGGCGGGCGGCGATTAAAGGGGCAGGTTCGGCACGGGAGCCGTGATCACGGTGGGCACCCGAACCAGGAACACACACACACACAGACACACAAACAGCGCCGTCACTCAGCAAAATCAACTTTATTCCGCTTTCTCCCTGTTTATAATCGATGCGCAGCAAAGCCGGGGCGAAGGTGCAGCCACGGCCCGCCCCCAGGGACCGGGGCTGCCTGGATACTGCAGCCTGTTGGTGCCGGTTGCAGGGTTCAGCTCTCTTCCTCTGAAAAAAGAGAAAAGAAATGAAGTGAATGTAGCTGGCAGAAGAAAACCAGCCAAATCCCMAAATTAAACCCCCTCAATTGTCAAGGAAATGCCACAAGAAACACGAAAAATCAAGCCTGCCACTTCAGGCAGATTTATCCCACTGCTGTCTCCTTGCCTTCCCCCAGCTTCCCAACAAACCTGTATATCAGCCAGGACTACGCACACGTCATGTGGAATTACACAATTTACATTCCTGAGCAAATTACGCAGCATTTCCATAAAAAAATCCGGAGCAGCCAGGCTAAGTTTACAGCCTAAAAATAAGCTAGGCGATATTTTTCCTATCACAGAAGCAAGAGCTGTAGGATAACTGGTTTCTCACTGTCAACAGAGTACATGCAGATCTCGTGTCAGGGATCCCAGATGGTTCTAGKCAGCAAAGCACAAGTGTACAGGGCCTCGTCCACTGTCCACTGAGTGCCACTGATCCTCCAAAACTCCCATCCTGAACAGCCAGCAATTGCTCAGCTTCAGAAAAGCCTACACTGTGTTCCCTCAATTGCACTCTGTCACCATGCGTTTTAAATGTGTCACCTTATACTCACTGCCATTTCTCAAAATGCCGTGAAAAAATATCCCAGAACCAACAGAAATTAGCACGACCCACTCCTGCAGACCTTGGGGCCACTGAATGAAGGGCTCCTTGGAAGGCTTCGTTCTCCCAGGCAGGCTTCGTTTTCCCAGGCAGTGCTCTGGATGTGTGACCTCCCCCCCATCCCTGCTAAAATCAGTCCTCATCAAGTATCCGTACAGAGGCACAACATCTGCATTTACAATTCTCTCCTCTTTTTTCATCCAGCTGAGTACTCCCAATGTCACCCACACCTTTTCAAGTTGAGTCCCATCCTTGGGACCACACCTTCTCCAGCCTTGTTCCTCATTTGACATAGCACTGGTCAGATCTGACTCTTTAGCTGTGGTTTTCATCATATGTCACTTTTCATCCAGACCAGTACATCACTTAAAACCATAAATGCTACAAACACATGCTACAAACCTTCCTCTTCCTCTTCTTCCTCCTCATCCTCCTCATCTTCATCAGAACTGAAGGTGCCATCAGGCAAACTGTAGATCCGGATCACCTGCTTGTTGGGGTCCTTGAGAATGAGGTACTTCCCCTCATCCAGCTTCATGCAGATGTCAATGACGCATCGCAGGATACCCCAGGCATTTTCTATGCTCAGATTAATCTGGCTGGCAAATTCATTTGGCTTGAACTGCTGTGTGCCCAGGATCACGTGGCGGGCAGAGTCTTTCACGTGGTAACGGGATACATATCTAGGGGGGTAAGAAGTAACCAGAGGGGTATCAGATTAAGCCCAGGGATTAAGCAGAACACAACCAAGAAAAGTAGTGATCATCTTATTTTTGTTTTCTGGGCTGAAAAATCCTAATACTCCAACACTGAAAGCTAAGAGGATCTCCTGGCTACAAACTGTCAATCAGTAATGCACCTGGAAATCCGCAAATCGGATGCAGTGGTACAAAAGATAAAGAAGAATTAGCCTTACAGATAAAATTAAGCAACAGCATGATTAGCTGGGAGTTTGGAACTAAAAAGATGCGAAAGCATGAGTCCCGTGTCTAAGGATGGAACTGAGGGTTGCAGAACCACTGGAACAGAGTTAACAAAAGCCTTTTGTTTATTACCCGCAGTATAGATTCAACTGATTTTAAGATGATAGCTCAAAAAATGCTGTGGCTACACTTCCCCCCACTGCACAATTTTTCAGTAACAGGGCACTAAGGATCTCCATCAGACTCCTGACAGGGACCATAGTCACTGTGTTTATTTTCCAAGGTTGACGACCTYGGCCAACAGGCTGAGAGCCCATGGAGGCCACCTGCCCCATATGTGTGTGGGGTCAGTCACAGCTGGATGTTGAAGGGAAGCAGCTTACACCAAGGCTGGTACTCTTACTGCAAACTTTCTTTTCTTGGCCACTCAAACATTGGGTGATTTCAGGATTACTCAACCTATAAATACTTCATTCAGACACATATGGAGTTTAATCATGGAAAAGGCACCTGGTAGATGTTTGGTGTGAACCCTACCCTTACCCAAGTTTAAGATACTCTGATCCAGCCAACAGTGCGCAGCATGTCCAGCGGGCCAATTTGTAGCTGTTGTTTTTCAGCTCCGTGGCAATGACAGCCCCTCTCTGAGAGTCCAGCTTCTGACGCCAGTCTACTCCATTGCAATACTGAGAGAAGAATCAGAACCAGGGTCAGCCTGACAAGCCAGCAGCAGCCACCTCTTCAGCCATCTTGTCATGACATAGGGCAGCTGCTTCTGTCTACCTTACAGTATGACATGAGGGAATTTGAACTGCAGCCTATAGGGAAAGCTCTTGCATCAGAGAGGGAGAAATGCAAGCAGTTGCAATTGCCCAACATTCGTGAACTGGTCAGAAAGGGTAGTTCGAGGGAAGAATTCTAAAGAGAACCATAGGAAGAGATGGGCTACTGAACTGAACACCCAGGGACAAGAGGGTTCATAGCCAGCTACCTTCCATTTGGGGAAGAATCCTATCAGCATTGCTTGTCCACCAAAGCTTTACTCCTTAGTGAAATGTAACACCAAGGGAACACTGCCAGATGTTTATCTTCCCTGCTGTACCTGGCATGTCAGGCAGCAGTGAAGCAGTTAGAGCTAGCTTGGGGATCCCATTCTTCCTCACCCTCGAATCCCACTCGTTCAGTGTTTTGATGTTGATGAATGACACTTCTCCATTAGCTCCAGTCATCACTCCATCATGCTCACAGCGGACAATGAGATCTATATCATCTCCCAGCTTCCATCTTCGGTACCTGCCAACAAACAATACAGCTGGTTAGTTCTGACATTTGTTCCCTTCCAGATCCAAGTGTGCACTCAGCAAAATCCTTTCCTCCTCTATCTTTTCACTGTGGGTCATCCATGAATCCCTCTCAAGATAAAGCATCTATCAGGAACACTCCTAACCTGTTCTGCCTCCATATCACACTGATATCCTGCCCCTTTGACAAACTTGGGCATCAGAGATATCAACTTACCTGTATGCAACAGAGGCTACTTCGTTTTTATCCATGTCATCCTCCACAAAGGGGTTTGGGTTGGGAAATTTGTATTTCTCCTTTCCCTGCAGATGAAAGCAGCAAAGCATGTTAGGAGACAGTTCTTCTCTATTGGAAAAATATTCTTTTACAGCAACAGTAGCTGATTTCCCTTAKGTAGAGAAACACCATAACATTGAGACAGCTGATGAAAGCCTCATGTCCACATTAGTCATAGCACTATACGAAGTACTTGTACTGGCWCTTAAGCTCCATTAAGTATACTGAGAAGCCAGTCTGCCTCAGTAGGAGTAGGATGACTTCTCTGTGAAATACAGGTGAAAACCTTTCTACAACTAAGTCACACTCCTCAYCAGAAGTAATCCCATCCCTTTCAAAACTGAAAGACCATTGGTGTAACGCAATTGTCAATTAAAATGCTCCTGACCTGTATTAAAGCAGCCTCAATGAAGTCTCTTCTTGAGCTTCTCTGAAACACAGACCCCACAACTCAGCACTGCTCCACCTTACCATCCTCAGACACTGCTGGGAGAAGTTATGATTGATGTAGGTAGCTTCCATGGCAAGGTTGCGTGGAGAATTAAAGGAGTTGCCCTCTTCCTGTGGTGGCTCATTGGCTGTTTCACTCACTGTCAGAAGGTCTGGGAAGAAAACCAGATGCAGTGGTTATTCTTGGGAGAATAACTATGTCAGCTCTAGTAAGTCTCTAGCCCCACACCAGGGCAGATCAATACTGACATTCCCCACACAACTATCACATGTACTGCAGTAATGAGCTTGTTCAGGAGGGTCAGTGTGGACACTGAGACCCAAAATAAAACCCAATAAGCATAAAGAAAATCAACCCTTTACCTACTGCAGCACAAATTTCTTTGAGGACTTTTCCTCACCAAAATCGGAGTTGTCCCTCTTGTCAAAGAAAAGCTTGGATCCAACTCTCTGGACGATGATGTCCCAGGAGTAGACAGAGCGAGTGCAGCTCATCAGCGTGGCCAGGATGGCATCCGTGGCAAATACATTCCCTTGTGTCTTGGCCAGCTATGAATACAGGAGGACCAGAAAACTGTTTCAGCAGCAAAAACAGACACCCCTTCCCTAGGCAGGATGAGAAGTGTCAGCAAACTAGATCACTGTTTTTTTCTCTTGACTGAGAAAACAGAACTGGTATGCAGCACATCGGCTGCCAGACTAAGCGTAAGGTACTACCCAGCAATCCTGACCCACCCTCACCCACACAAGGGGGAAGTAAGAAACTACTATGAAATGTTAATTCTGTTGAAAAATGCATGGCTTCTTAYTGCCAATCAGATCACAAGAGAGGAATCTCCAAGTCTTCCTCACCTCCAAAAGCAAAGCTCCAAGGATCAGGGCTCTGACATATGTTTCCTTCCCAACATAGTTGAAGTAYTGGTCTGCTTGCCCTTCCAGAATTACAGCTTTTCCTTGGCCAGTGTTCCTAACTCTGCATTAATCTAG